TTTTGGTGCTGAATCTCCTCTCACAAATAGAAGGCGAGAAGGAAAAAACTGCTACAAATAATTTTCTGTTAAAAGTTTTTTTGTCCCTGCAGATCCATCATATTCCTATTATGTATTGAATAATTGTTTCTTTTAATATGAAGCGGGCAATGCATAAATATAGTGAAATAATTTTCCCGATCTGTTCAATGGCTCTAACTAAATTTATTTAAACCATTAATTATCCCATTTATTTCTATTGTTTTACAGACTGGTAAAGCACTTTTGTAGAGCATCGGACATTCCTTCACTTGTATCGAAGTTTTCATCGTCTTGGATCTTTCTGGTTGTGATGTTCCAGTAGGTTTTTTTTTTATACATAAATTCTTATGTTGTTTCATAGTCTGTTCATCTTTGAAGATAAAATGTAATTGAATTCCCTTTTGTGCAGGCATGACAATTATAGCATTCAGAAGAGGGCATCTTAATTTGGAACTTTTAGATATTACTTAGTATTGGACCGACTTTTGCTATTATGAACCTCTTAGAGAGTATGTTCTTGGCTTTATTGATATGTATCTGCAATTGTTACTTAAATTATCTCGCATATAGTTAATTCTTTTAGTTTAGATTGTTGGCATGACCTGCTTATGTTTGGGCTTTAACCATGTTTTCACATGGTTATTTTTCTGCTTAATTAGGTTGTTTGGATGTCCTTCTTATGTTTGGTGCTTACACCACTGCAAGAGGCATGGCTATTTCCAGGCTGGTTATACGATTCTTTGGTGTGGCCTGACCTCTGTATTTGTGACCTATGGTTATGTGTAAGTTTGTGGTATTCTTGTGATTGAAATTATTTTCTTGTTGATAGTCATCATTTATATGTTTGTACTGATTCACACACAATATATATATATTTGTTCTTGCAGAAAGGTTTTGGAGGAAATGAATGATCAGACAGCAATTCCTTATATTTCGGATATATATACTTGTGCTGGGTGTTTTGCAGCCTTGCGGTTGGTTCTTGGCTTGTTACTAAGTTTCCGGTTGTCATACCTTGTCTGAAATGTCAGATCAACCATTTTTTCAATTTTTCAAATGGATCTATCAGGTTTGCTCACTTTTTGCTTAATTGTTAAGATGATCAAATGATTTTGGAATAGACTGCTTAGTAATTGTATATGTTAATTTGCACATTTCAGGAGCGTTATTATGTTGGCCAAGGACTTTATGAGAGGATGACTGACTATTTCAGGTTTTTTTTTGTATTCTATTGAATTTGGTTTTCATGCTTACTGTGTTAATTGGATTAAAAATTTGGGAGGTTGCCCGAAACAGTTGTGTTTTCTGTTGAATCAAATCTTAGATTTTTAGTGATAAGATGTCATGATCATACACATTTCCAGAGCGGCTAATTGGGAGGCGGATAAGTTGGCAAAAGATGGCATTGGATGAGTGGGGTTGTGTGTAGGAATTATGTGTTAGTGTTGGGAGGTTTTGATTTGTTTTGGTTTATACCGGATGTTATGTGATGAATTCTAAGGTTTAATGTTCGATGTTGCAATAAAATTATGAGACACACTTTTCCTCCTTCCAATGCTCGACGAACTTTCATAGTTCATTGAGTATGAAGTGGGGTTTAATGAGGTCTCCATATTCTATAAAAAAATGCTTACTGTGATCTTTTGACATTACTCTAATTTTATCCATTACATTGTTTAGGGGCTGACAAAACCTTTCATCCTGTTCCTTTTCTTTATTTTTCAGTTTTTTGTGTGTGTGGTTTCTCTGCAGTTGTAATGTTTTACTTTTTCATTACTTTTGCTGAAAATGGCACAATGGTTCATTTGACATGTCCATTGGAGTTAATACTTCATATTAATGTAAAATGCATGTGGAAGTTCTTGATTGATTTCTGGTTAACAAATTTTCTTGATCTCTAGATGCTTTTCGCATTGTATGATGAAGTCATGTGGATTTGTTGTTTTATTTTGCTGAAATAATGAAGGTCGCCAATAATTATCTGTGCCAGTGCACTCTACCCTCTTAATTCGGTTCTTTGTTGCTGCAGATATGTCCTATTCTGGTTGGTCATATTTCTATGTAAATTCACATTTGCTTACTTTCTTCAGGCAAGCCATCAAGTTGCTATTTCACCTTTTGGTAGAGATTTTGTAGTTTATGATATACAGCTTTCAAAGATGTAGATTTAAATCTGACGCTATAATTTTTTTTGATAGGAATAGGAGATCTCATTTAAAACCTCCCTCATAGTTGGCTCTTGTGAAAGAGGCAACTCGGAAGGAGTAAAAGAATACCTCATTATATTAAACCATGTTTACATAAGATTACAGCTTACTAAATAACTGTCCGAAATAAAATACAAACCAAAACAACCATAAGCTCAACATCAACCAATACCCTCTTTAGCTAGCTTATCAGCCTCCCAATTGCATGTCCTAGGAATCCATCTAACAATAATACCCCTAGCAGAAACTAAGGCCTCAATTTCCCCAACTAAAGTATTGAAAAAGTAGGCAGAAAATGGCAGCAAAATCCAGTCAACTGCTGTTTTACAATCTGTCTCAAGGATTAGTCTTCCCTTCAGAGCCCATTCGGAAGAAATGAATAGATCAATCCCTTGTTTAATAGCTTTTAGCTCAGCTAACATAGGACCAGGTCCCACCGCAAAAGAAAAGGTATAAAGTAGAACAATCTGAATCTTTCAAGACTCCTCCAATACCTCCCTGCAGCCCATCACCTCTTACCGCACCATCAACATTTAATTTAAAGAAATTCGGAGGAGGCGAGACCAGTTAAGAACCTTCTCCTTATTGTAGGATTTTATAGGCAAATTGTCTGCAAGCGATGCATCCCCTACTAGTAGGTCAACTTGAATATTAGCATGAGAAATTTCGCTAAAACCATTTAGCCAACCTAAACCTGGAAATGAAGAATAGGGATGATTATCTAATGTCCAGTTTTCAAAACCACTGCATTCCTAGCTTTCCAAATAGACCATAGAACACACCTGGAATGAACTTCCAAATGTTAGAACACTCCCTTAGATAAGACCAAGCAAGAAAGGAAGGAGGATCTTGGGGCATGATCGAAGAGATGTCCCAAAACCTTAAAAATCTATACCACAACTCCTCTGCAACCGAGCATGAAAAAAACAGATGACGAATTGATTCCTCATATTTGTGGCAAAAGGGCATAAAACATCTTCTAGATTGACCCCTATTTTCTTCAATTCCACTCTTACCGCCAATTTCTGATGAGTAAACTGCCATAGAAATTTTCCACTCGAGGAGGAGTTAATCCGGACCACACCCATTTCTTCCATTGAAAATGACCTCCAGTTCTGCTTGAGATAGTCATTCTACAGGATTTTACCGAGAACAAACCATCCCCTTTCCCCGACCACCCCAGAAAATCATCCACTGATTCATTCGGTGTTATGTTGTCAATCAAAAGCATTAAGGAAAGCCACTGATCCAATTCCCAGTCACAAAGATTTCTTCTTAGCTGAATGTTCCAAACCCAACCATTAGCTACAAATCCACCAAATTCAACCAATTTTCCCCTTTTGTTAGTCGACAGAGCATAGATTCTAGGAAATTGAATCTTAAGAGTAGATCCATTAACCCAAATATCATTCCAAAATCAATTGACCTATCATTCCCCACTTGGATCTTCGAATTAGATCTCAAACAATCCCCATTCTCGTCCTTTTTCTCATAGTTACTCCCGAATTCCTCTCCACACCTATGAATCTTGAAGAAAACAACCTTGCCTATAGACAGAGAGTCCATACTGACATTATGAATACAACAAATCAGTTTTTTCCATTGAGAATCTTTGTCATTGCATACTTCCAACCCATTTCCCTAGCAAAACTCTATTAATCATACTTAAGTCCAATACTCCTAAGCCTCCTTCTTCCAATGGTTGACAAACCGTACTCCAATTCACCCAATGAACCCTCTTCTTGTCAGATTCTTCACCCCAAAGAAATCTTGCCATACTGAGTTAATTTTCTGATTGACCTTAAACGGAATTTTGAAAATGGAGAGGTAAAAATAGGTAAGGAGGACAATATCGATTTTATCAACACCAATCTTCCGCCAACGATAAAGAAGCAGCTTTCCACCCTGCTAATCTGGTGAAAACTTTATGTAAAACTGGTTCCCACAATAACTCTGAATTTTTCTTTGTTCCTATCGGAAGACCTAGATAAGTCATAGGAAAAGATCCCACTCCACGACCTGCTTCCATTGCTAAATCTTTTAATCTGTCCTCTGCCACATTAACATCAAACATTTACTCTTGGGTCGATTAAGATGAAGCCCTGAAATTAAACTGAATACCCTCAATACTCTCTTTAAATTCAGAATTTGAGTTGAAGAATCTCTGCAAAATAAGATTAGGAAGATGAAAATTAAATTATACACAAACTTAACTGTATAGATTTTTTTTTGATAGAAGTTGGAGGTCTCATTAAAACTCTCTTCGTATTCGTTCACATACTAAAAGTATGTTAACGAACATTGGAAGGAAAAAAGAGTACCTCAAATTTGATTGATAATATTACCCGATACAAAGACAGCACGGAGTAACCTCACATGGTGATGTACACCTTTACAACAAAGACCTTAACTTCAAATGACCTCATCCAAAGCCACAGACTAATCACCTTACTCCTAATTACACCACCCGCAGTAGGAATAAACATCGCAACAGAACATGATACAAATTAAAAGCAACACCTACAACTGTAAAGACTAAAACAAAACCACAATTGAAGAGACAAGATCAATGAGACTCGTCTTCTTCAGGAGCCCAAGTTTGGTTTGAATGAAGGCTCTATCTCATGCACCATGACCTTGAAGAAGTTGTCACCAACCTTCAATTCCACCAACACATCAATTCTCGAATCAGCCTTTGTGAGGACTTAAATTTTTGCCCGATCAAAGATTGATGGAGAATGACACTTTCGTCGATAGCTAGTAATAAACTCCACTTCTCAGCAATGTTCTTGAAAGTATCCCAATTCAATGCGTTAAAAGGAACACCCTCGCAAACTAACCATACTCGACGACACTCCATTACCAAACTTTCTGACCAAGCTTCGACTATGGAGAACCACTCTGCGAGAATCTTTGATTTATCGTTCTCCAAACTTCTCAATGAAGCATTGTCTTCGAAAATCATTAAAATCGCATTACCAACAACTCTCATTAAGGTGAAGCCAGTGAGGCCCTTCGCTTGCATTTGTCTAGCAAGATGATCAATTTTGACAAAGTCCTTGCACCACCCTACTAGACAATTGCTCAACACCTGAAGTTTTTCTTTATCTATAACACCTTCAACTTTATAAGATTCTTCCTCGAATCATCTTCCAACCCGGACTTGCGAAGAACACTTGTCGAGGACTTCCTCCAATAGGAATGTCGAGGTTTGAATTTAACGAAAGAAACACCAATTTTGCTGCCGTCGATACGAGAGCCATTCATATTTGAGATCGCTCTCCTTGCTTCTTCAATTATAGCATAGCGAACAAAACCAAAGCGAACCCCATTCAAATTCCTTTTTTTAGGAATGAAGACATCCATAACTCGACCGTGTGTACCAAATATATATCCAAGTCTCTTCCAATGGATCTTCTCCGGAAGGTTCTCAATGAATAACGAGACACATCCATTACTATACCCATTCCTACCGTTTATATGATCTTCATTCTGCCTGTTTTGAAATCCGTTTCTTCTCCGTCTTACTACTTCAGAAGATTTTTCGTTGGAATACCCCTTCTTGATTACATGGTGATCCGCTTCAGCAGCAGAAAGAACGGGTGTTGCCTCCACTAAAGAAAGCTTCTCCATCCTATAATTCCCACCTTGTGAAGGAGACATACCACTGTCATCAATCCTAACCACAGGAGGTTGACAGTCTAATGTTCCTTTAACAACGCATTTTTCCAAGGAATTGGTTGATAGAGGACGTTCACCGACCTCGCAGAAATTTCTCTTAAGTTTTGCTGATTATGGTGGGAATGACAGTGCCTGTAGGTAGTGCCGTCGGACTCAACTGTCCAACCAGCCTCCCGAGCCAAGGCTGCCAGAACAACGTTCATATCAGAACGCACGGAAGAGAGAAATCACCATATTGCCTCAAACCGGCCAGCAAACGTCTGGTGAAAGCACGCCTGTTCCATTTCCGAAGCTTAGTCCTCTCCTTTTCAATTTCCCTCCCACGTTTTTCCTTACCGTAGTAGGAGAAACCATATCTGCTGTTGCTCCCAAAAGTTTCACCTGCCGCTCCTGATGCATCTCTAGTTCGCCTGGGCTAGACGGGGGTTGGGGCTCCATGGAGAAATCTGGAAATGAACAGAAAGTTGGAGGAAAGGGTTTTTCCTAGCCGAACCAGATTTTTGGAAAATAAAGGATAATAAAAAACGATTCTCGACACAGGGTAGGAGGGTTCTGGACGCAAGACGACGACTGATTCTGGTGGAGAAACGATGGTGTGCACAGGCGGAAAGCGGCGAAAAATGGCAGTGGGCTTCTTGAAGATCTGCGTTGATTGAAAGTCTCAAACGCAAATCTAAGGCCAGATTTGAAATCACAGATAACCGGCGATCTTCACAGGAAAAAATCGGCATCAACGGTGGTCGGAGTGTGGTGGCGGACGGCTGACGACTGGTACCGAAGAAGAGAATAATAATCAAAAGCGCCTGGGCTCGTGGAAATTTGAAATTTGAAACACCTAGGTTAGAGCTTCTCTCACTATCACGTGACGCCCCAAATTTAAACAAAAAATTTAACTGTATAGATTTAGAGTCAAATTAGTTGAATAAGGGTTTAAATACCTGCGGGTTATTAAATGATAATAATTATATCCCTGAAATCAGACTTTCTTCCTGCTACATTGAGAAGATAAAGTTTCCATTTGATGTTCCCAATCTGCATGTTTCATACATTCATCCTTTATCTAAGCATTCGGAGTTAAGTGCTTGTCTTGGTCTGATTCTGTTATATCTGGTGTACATGAGAATGCTAAAGAAAATTTTAGTTGTATGGATTTGAAGTGTTCAACTTCACTCGATTATTTTCCAAAATATGTATCAACCATCATAACATTTATATATCTGGGTCTCACATGTGAACCCTGATATCAGTTCAAGGGACAAGAAGATGATGAAGGGGATCCCGACATGCAATAGATAAATAAAGGATGCCAATGAAAGGGATATTTCTTTCTCGTTGGCAAATAATTTTGCTTTTGCGGTTGTTTTTTGCCCATCAAAGAACTTTTTCCTTACTATTTGTGCCATATCTTTATATGGCTTCAAGGTTACCAAAATATTTTTATATTTTATGGTCCTCTAGGCTCTCATGGTCTGTTAGATTTATGTTAATATGTAATGTGATTCTTCTATGATCTTTTATTTCTTTTAAAGTTTACTCGTGTTTCATTGAGGTTTCTGTTCTTCAAGTTGAAGTTTGTGTCATTAATCTGTTCTTGTAACATTTTTCTGCAGATAATAATAATATCTTGACCATCGTTAGCCTGTGGGCCCCTGTTATCGCTGTGAGTGCATATGTATTTTTTTTTATAGGAATTGAAGGCTCATTAAAAACCCCATTCTTAATTAATGGAGCTTGATAGAAAGCTCCTTAATCATTTGAAGGAGGAAAGGAGTGCCCTAGAATTTCATTCAACAACTTAATTACATAAGATACAACCAGGACAACACCCTTATCAAAAGCAAAAAAACCAAACAGTACCCTTAAACACGAAAAACAGCAACACTAACTTAGACTTGACCTCCTAAGCTAGGTCCCCATCACCTGATGGTGCGTCCTGATTGCCACACTGGCGAAATCAATACAAATCAAGAGCCTATACAACCCGAATAAAATACAGAAAACAAACAACAAAAGGCACTCTACACTCAACCAATCCTCTGCTTAGCAAGCCTGTCAACCTCCAAATTACAACTCCTAGGAATCCATTTAATAACACAGCCCTTATCAAAAATTGCAGCCCCAATTTCCTCCACCAGATCACTGAAAAAGACGGGCAGAATGCATTTTTAAAATCCATTCCACTGCATTTTTGCAATCACTCTCTATAATTAGCCTTCCCTTATTAGCCCAATCAGACGAATAGAAAAAATCAATTCCTTCCTTAATAGCTTTCAATTCTGCCAAAATAGAAAGACCAGACCCTACTGCTGTAGAGAAATAGGCTAAGGAACAGCTGTTGGAGTCTCAAAATAATTTTGAAGGGGGTTTTTAACGAGGCCTACCTTATAAAAAAATACCTCCAATTCCACCTTGCATCCCATCTCCATTAACTGCCCCATCTACATTAAATTTAAACGCACCCATTGGTGGAGGAGTCCAGCAAATAGTCTTCTTTGGAGTAGATGGATGATGAAAAATATCAGCCCTCGTAGGATCCCCTACTAGTAGGTCAGTCTTAATCTGAACATTAGGGTGCGTAGCTAAATACCATTTAGCCAACCTGAATCTAATTATAAAGTACAGACCCGAGCTGTCAAGTTTCCCATTTTCGAACACAACCAGATTCCTTGCGATCCAAATTGACCATAAAACAACAGCCGGAATGAACTTCCAAATGGTTGAATTCTGCCTTAGGTTCGGCCAAGAACAGAGAAAGGAAGATGGATCTTGCGGGATGAACTTACATATGTACGTATGTACATGTACATACATATCAGGGGCGGATGCACTAAGTCCCCTAGGGGCCAAGTGCATCCCCATTATTTAGGAAAAAAGTGAAATTTAGTATAACATGTTAAAGAAGAATGGAAAAAATTAAAATTTTGCACCCCCATTATTTTTAAGAAAATAAATTAAAATTTTGAACCCCCATTTATAAATTTCTAGATCCGCCACTAATACATATGTGCGTACAAATGTATTTATATGTACGTATACTTACGTAATGTATGTACATGCATGGGAAATTGTTGAAAACAAGTAGGTTATTAGTTCATCTCAAATTCTTTGGGCTGTGGCCTCTGCATGAGTTTTCTTGGTCGTACCTATTTCAGCTGATTGTTGTCAATAAGCTTATTATGAAACTGTATGGCATATATTTGTTTAACCTGTATTGTTTTCTGTTTTTTCTCCAGATTTATCTCATGGACATTCACATATGGTACACTCTATTGTCAGCAATTATTGGCGGTGTCATGGGGCGAGGGCTCAGTTAGGCGAGGTACTACATTGTCATTTTCTCTATTTTTAGGAAATTTCCTGGCTTGCTCCTTTGTTAGGACTCCTACTTTTGATACTGTTTTACTATAGATACGCTCCACTGAAATGGTGCACAAACGTTTTGAGAGCTTCCTAGAAGCCTTTGCCAAGAACCTTGTTTCACCACAAATCAAGAGGTAATTTGTTTACTACTTGGCACTTTAAGATACAAGCTTTTGGGCTCAAATGCAGCAGATGTACCAGATTTTATTTCCCTTTTTCAGCAATCCCTTTTCAATGTTCTGTTTCTTGTATTTTTTTTTGTTCATTTTAATTCCTAAAATGTATTTTTCTAGATAAATAAAGATATTCAATGATACTTATTCTGTCATATATGTAAACAGAGATGTATGGTGCAATATGTTTATTGCAATTTTGTGGACTATGGATAAACTCATCCTAGCCTGCAGCAGAAGGCATATTGGGTTGTTAGAAAACAGAATGGGAAAAAGACTATATATTAAATATTTTAGAATGGTCATAATCAGATTTTCCCTGGCCTGAATTATTTTTGAGACTATTTTACCGAGTTAATCAACCAAAATTTACTTGCTGAGAAGTAGACATAAGAGGAAAAGGTATACAATACATAGAAGGGCTAACCTGAATTTACCCTTTCTCTCTTAATTTCTGTCATCTCTCTTGCTTGGTGGCTTGGTCCTTATTTGGCATGGCTGCAAAATTATTAAAATAGATGTCATCGTTAGCCATTGAGCCTATGCCTGCTTTTAGGTCTGTATATTCCAATGAAGTAATTGGCCTTGAAAACGATATGGTTTATTAGTCTATGCTATCTTTGGTGAACTTCCTATATGTATGATATCTCCTTCCACTCTCCCCTTTCTAAATAAAAAAGAAGTGAATAGTATCTAAAAACATAGAGATGAGGCTTGTAAGATTATGGGTTCTTTTAAAGAATCTGCAGATCCAGGCCCTCCAACTTTGCTGGAGCTTGTTGCCATCAAGAGGGTGTACTTATCTTTGAGCATATTCTTCAGAGGTTTAAGAATCGGTGGATTGTTGAATCTGATAGCAAACTTGCTGTGGATTGGGTTAAGAATTTAGATAGCTGTCCTGGTGTTTTCCTTCATCTAGTCAAGATATTGTTGCCATGATAAGAGTTTTGGAAGGAGCTATCAGATGGGTTGACAGAACGACAAACATAGAAGCTGACAGCTTAACTAAGGCTGGTATTGGGTAGTTATTGTTTGATGGGTTGGGATATTGTTTAATTGAGTGAAAGATGTGTTCTTTGGTGTGTTTCGGGTTGTTTTTGTAAGGGGCTTCTTTGTTTTAAACATTATGTAATCTTTTACTTATTAATGAATTATGAGGCACTCTTTTCCTCCTTCCGCTGATTAAGGAACACCAATTGGTGTTCCATTAATCATGAAGGGGGTTTTTAACGAGGCCTTAACTTCCTATAAAAAAAAAGTATGTAAAAACACTGCAGTTCTTAACTAACTTCGAAACTTGACAATGACAATATTTTCTGATTGTTTATAGGCATAAATATTTTGTTTATATAAATTTTTCCTATTAATCTCTTCTAATTTTCCTTTTCTGTTTCCTTGTTATTGTTCTTGCAGGATGCCATTTGATAGACAATCACCTGAGGTCGGTGAAATTCATATTTCTTCACTTCTGATTCTTATTTTCTAAACTCGTTAATGTTATTGTAGCTTTGCAAATCTTAGGCTTAGATTGCCTTAGTGTGGAAGTAAATCTTTTAGGCTTTTTTAGGTTGGGTGGATAGAAGAAAAAGGAAAGATGGAAAATTGGAAGAGAAGAAAAGTGGAAACATGGAAAACATATTTCTTTAAATTCTGTGGTTTGTAGAGTCAAAAATGAAAAGAAATTGAGATTACACTGTTACATGGTAACCTCTCGTAAATTTAGATGAACCTTTGGACTGTGTTGTACATATTGTGCGACACTTACCTATCCCTCTGTCATTTCTCCTCTTTTGTTTCCTATTTAGAATGTTTTTTATTTTCATCAAGCATTGAAAATGGTAAATTGTTCCTATTTTCTTTCCTTCTAAGCACTTTTAAAATTCATTTTCTGTTTGCTTGATCACCATCTATGTCTTCCCGCTTTCCTACTCCGCCAAGCACATCCTTAAGATGGGTTGACAAACGCTTACCCATGAATTCAGACTTAGTCAACTTAATTGGTCCTAGGCTGATGGGGTATAATTTAGTGGGATCTTCACAATTACTCACTTTTATATTGTTTAGTCCATGTAAAACATCAAAGATCATTTCGTCCCGCTCTCGATACTGTCAGTTACTTAACTGCAATAGTCAATATTTACCTTCATTGGAGCTGGACACACTTGCTAATTAACCCTCCTTATCTATGGCCAATAGGCCCTACACACAAAAAACACTCATATTTATGGTTTATCCCTTATACTGAGAATTGTGATATTGGTTCGGTTAGGTCGAATTTCTTGGATTTTTTTAACCTTCTTTTTTTTTATAAGAAAGGGAGCCCTCGTTAAAAACCCCCTTCATAACCATCAAGAACCGTGGGGTATCTCGACGGCGATTGGAAGGAGGAAAAGAGTGCCTTATAATTTTATTTCTGTCGAACAAGCCATTACATTATAACCAGTACATAAAATACAAAATCAGCAGAACAGAATAACCTCTAGGAACCTAAAACCAAAAATTCACCCAATTCCTATCTTAGCTAATTCATCCGCTTTACAATTGACAATTCTACTAACATGTTTTACAATTGACAATTCTACTAACATGTTTTACAACAACACTCCTATCTTCTACCAGTGCACTAATTTCCTTGACTAGTGAGCAGAAAATCATTGGCGAAGAACTTGGCCACTTGATCCAATCCACAGCTTTCCTACTATCACTCTCCACCATTAATCTGCCCCTCGAGCTCCACCTTGACTTGAAGAATAATAATCTTGTTTTAATGCCTACAACTCAGCTAGAATTGGAGGGCCTCCCCCAACACTTTAAGAGAAAAAACCCATCACAACTCCATCATCATCCCTCAAAATACCACCTATTCCCCCTTTACACCAAGATTTCTCCACAGCTCCATCAACATTAAACTTGAAAAAACCTTTCGGAGGAAGATTCCAAGCCAGCGAAGAATCACCAGATTTAACATTAAACACACAGGAATCAACTAGAACTGGATTCCCCACAAGACAATTAGACATAATAGGGATATCAGGAAATTTTGCAAAAACCAAGAAACCAGTCTATACCTCGTTAAGAAATGCAACAAAGTAGTGTCCATCTTCCTAGCATCAAATATAATATCATTCCTGAATTTCCAGACTGACCAAATAATAGCTCCTGGAATAAACCCCCATATTTTGGAACGAGGGAACATCCTTCCCCACCCTGCAAGAAGATCATATGGAATTTCTGGAACAAAAGAAACATTCCAACTCAACAGAAAGTAAGACCATAACTGCCAAACTATGGGGCAAACAATAAAAAGATGTGCAACTGTTTCCTCTAGCCGTACATCACAGGGGACATATATTATCCACAATCCCATTAACTCCAAGTTTCAAAAGCTCAACTTTAACCCCAACCTTCATCCGCAGAACCTGCCATAAAAAAACTTCCACCTGAGGAGGAGCCATCCCAGTCCAAACAAGTTTTTGCCAATCCAAATCCACCTTCTCTTGCTCATTCACTAATCTTAAACAAGATCTAACCGAAAAAAACCCCTCCCCCTCCCCATTCCCTTTCCACACATAAGTGTCTTCCAACGAATCATCAACCATAGAACTGCATAAAATAGAGTTTAAATCGAGCCAAAGTTGTAACTCCCAATCCGCAAGATTTCTCCTCACTTGATTGTCCCAATGCCACCCTGTTTGACTTTGCTTTCTGAACTCCGAAATTGTTCCCCATTTGTTAACCGCAAGAGCATACAACCTTGGAAACCTTCTTTTTTAATTTGGTTTGGTTCTCAGTTTTTCCATATTATTTTTGATTTTCAACTTTTTGACTTTATTTTGACAAAATGACTTTGTTTTATGTTGACATTTATTTTATAAGTTTTCAAAGTCTTTTCCATAAATATTTCTAAAAAATAGTTCCTCAAATAATTAAGAATAATTAATAGTTCTTATATAATATTTAAAGTTATTTCATTATTTTGAAATATAGAACACTTATTCTTACATTATGAAAGTAAAATTTTATTATATTTAAATAAAAATATTGATTTCAGTTTTCTTAGGTTAACCATGGTTTTTAAACTTATGAACCATAAAGTGTCCAAACATTATGGTTCTGTTCAGTTGGTTATTTGCTCGGCACCAGCTGAAGTTTAGTGACACCTATGTCAAATGACATATTGGCTAGACATTAAGCATCCTTCTCTATTACACTTTTAGTGATGTGAGTTTCTGTACTTATATGTCTAATTGATTTGTTTGTCTTCTCATGGAGCTACTATCGCAATTCTTGAAAGATAGTATTTCAAACAATAATTCGTCCAGCATGTTCTTACTTTGTTTATAGGGGTTGCTGCAATTCTTTAATTAGTCTGAGTTTGTACTTTTTCTTCTTAGGGTTATGTTGTCTTAAGTGGTAAAACTTTCTGATAATTCTGAATTTTGTTTTGAAAAGTACATGTTAATTATTTTTGGCTTTGTTAAATTTTAGTAAAAGATTGAAGGGAGAAAAAATGGGAGAGAGAGTGAGAGCGTCAGAGAAGTCAATCTTCCTCCGGTGAGGTATGGACAGCGTTTGTGGATAATCTGAGTCGGAGAGTGTCAAGGAGTTCGTTGAGGGAGCTGTTTCAATATCATGTGTCAGTAAGCAGAATCTTCATCACGAGTGTATTGAATAAACCAAAATACAAAGCCTATATGTTTGCATTTGTTCAGTTTGAGAACGAGAAGAGTATGGTGAATGCAATCGCGAAAGTTAACGAATCGTTGATTGTTGGAAGGAAAGTATCAGTGGGGGTAGCGAAGTACTAGAAACCACAAAGAGGTTCAGATATAACAGGTAGAGTTCAGACAGAAAAGAAATAGTCATTTGATAATGAAAAGGGTAAAAACAGGGTCGGAAATGAAACCCTGAGTAGAATAAGAGCTGATAGGTCTTACAAAGAAGTCTTGATTCAGAACAAGAGTTTAAGGGGGACTAATACGCGATTTACCCCTAAACATCCTCTAATAGCTGCTGGAAAATGGAAAATGAAGAGAGAAAAAAACCTTCCCTATATTTGTATTGCTTCTGTTTGAATATGGACCTCCTCTATGTTACAAAGGTTTTTTTTAAAAGGAAAATAGAACTCTCCCTTCCCCCAAATCCTTTTCGGGGTTTTTTTATCCATTTACATGTGTAAATAAAATGGAAAAGAAAAAATGTTGATTTTGTTTGTGTGGTAGTTGATGACGAGTGGAGCTTGCTAGTGTGGAGCATTGGGGACCATGGGTACACGCGTGCTGGAACGTTGGTGCTGGCGTGAAGGAAGCTGCTGGGATTTGGTGGCACAGTGACTGGGATTGGAGGCTGTTGGAGAGCTTGTTGATGGCAGCAATAGTAACCATGACATTGAATGCCCCGGATATTTAGGGATTTACATTCCTTCTTTTTTTTATTTTTTTATTTTATTTTTTTTTAATATAGGTAAAAATTTGTGATTACAATTTGAAATTATAAAATGTTTTTATTATTTTAATTTAAAAAAATTAAAATTTATAATTTAACTTATATGTATGAGTAGCGTCGTAGGATATAATGATAAAGCAGTGTGAAAACGTTATTGGTGATTATTTTCCACCTTCCAACGACACTCATTGATCTAATATAGATATATATTTTCATTAATTTAAAGTGATTATAAAATAATTTTTTAATATAAATATTTAACAGTTAGAAACATGATCTTCTATTAAGAAAGAATAAAACGTTTGAAAATATATTATATAATTAAGATCAAGTATAATTAACTATAATCATATAATTATGCCGATTTGGACAATTATAATGAATTATGAATCTTATTCAATTAAATATAATTTGAGTTTTTAAAATAATTATAATATTTACATTTTATAATTTAAAATAATATGTACATAAATTTATTAATAAATATAACATACTAAATTAACCGACCGAACCGATCTAGAAAAATATTATTGACTGGGTCAATATAGATAAAATAAAAAGTTTATCTAACATAATTCATATGTATATAAATTTTGAATTTAAAAATGTAATAATAACTAAAATTAATATAATTGCATGTTCCAAAAAAACTTTAAATATATGTAAAAAACGCATCATCCAAAACATAATATCTTCATCAATTAAGATGAACTCTCCTTTCTTTCATAGAATTAAAATCATCTATGATTGATGCAATAGTAAATTTTTCAGCAATTTATTTTTCAATGTATGAAACTGAGTAAACTGAAAGAAAGTCATCTTTCATATTATTCTGTAGACTAGTCTTAACAATTTTCATTACTGAAAAGGCTCTTCAGTAGTTGTTGTACTAATAGAAAGAGTCAAAATAAATCAAATCAATCTATCAATAAGGGATAAGAAAAAGAATTCTTGCTTTCTGATAAACTTTGACATAATTGAGTTATGGTGCTCAAATTCATCATCTTTGAATGATTAGAAACATCATGAAAAAATAGCTCAAGTTCATACTGCAAATGATTTTTATCATGTTCAGAAAAATCTTTGGAATAGTACTCTGCAAGACGATAAATGTTTTCCAAATTAAAATTCTTATCTCCATATGTAGGATTCAAAGTTGTACTTAAAATAACTCTGTTGTTTGCTCAGTAAAACTATTGTTTAGTTCATGCAATTGTTGATCCATAGTAGCTGTAAATACATCCACTCTATAATGATGCTCCACTGAAACGATATCTTTATTGCGTCGAGATATTATATCATGATTATTGCAAAATAAGAGTACTTTCTGTAAAAGATCTTTCCAATCATCATCTTTAAATTTTTGAATTAAAGACTTCGCGACAGCGTCTAAATCCATCGCATTTAAAATATCTTGCGACTTATATTGTAAAACTTGACAAAGTACATCTGTGTATTCCGTAAATTCTCGCATCATATGTAAAATGAATACAAAATCAAAAGCCAACAACTTTTTAAGAGTAAAACTAGATCCCCACGTTGAGAATATGAGACTTGACGATCAATAGCTATTTTCTAAAGGACAGAACGAGTTGCGTTGTATATCTTTAAGACACTACAAATTGACTTGTAATGAGAACTCCACCTAGTATCTCTGGGACGTTGCAAAATACCAATTTGGTTTAGCCCTATTCTAGTCTCTATCTCTTCAATTTCAATTAAATGTTTCGATTTAGCAATTTGACTATTTTGTTGTTCATTATGACGCTTAGAAGAATAACTAACAACATTCACAATAAAAATCAATTCTTTAAAAAAAATCATGAACTTTAGATACTTCTCTTACAACAGCAATGAGAGCCAACTGTAGTTGATGTGCTTGACAATGCACATAATAGGCATATGAATAATATTTCTTGAATAGAGCTTGTAAACCATTCCATTCATCTCGCATATTGCTGGCTCCATCATATCCTTGGCCTCTAAGATTTGCAATACTTACTTCATGGTTTGATAAAATTGTAGAAATATTTTCTTTGATAGTTTTTGATGTTGTATCTTTGACATGTACTAACTATAAAAATCGTTCTCGTATAATTTCATCTCTATCGATAAATCTTACGACTATAGTCATTTGTTCTCTTTTAGATATATCTCGAGATTCATCAATAATTATACAAAATTTTTGAATCACCAATCTCCTTGCGAATTTCTTTTGTACTTTTTGAGCAAATGTGTGCAAAATTTCTTTTTGAATGGACGAAATTATATATTTACATTTTGTGGAGCATTTTCTAGCACAATGTCTCGTATATCCTTATTGTAAGAAGAAAGGAGTTTCAACTTCTCTAGAAAAATCTCCTGATTTTTGGACTTTGCCTCTCATCATTCCCCTTGGATGCACATTTTTGAAATTTGAGCCATTGTACAACTTCTACTGAAGCACTTAATCGTAAATGATTATCAACATTTTATTTCAGAGTTAAATTTTCAAATACAGTGTTAATATGACCTTTAAGATTCTTAAAATCTTCTCAACACTGAACATAATATCCATGAGCTGAATTAATATCTTTCCCCATATGTATTTCAAATACACATTCTTTCCCTCCAATCCTCTTGCAATTTTTAAATCCTTGTACTTTAAAAGTATCTGAACCATAATTTCCTAGTGGTTTCTTTTCAAAAAGAAAGCATGAAGCAGCATCAATAGTTGGTGAATACTCCAACCAATTAAATATCTTAAGCCATTTAGATCGAAATCGTCGTGGATGGTCATCTAGATCAGATTGATTAAACTCAGACATAAGAATTTGATAAAGTCTATAATTTATGAATTCCTCTATAACTTCTCGTTTTTCTGATGGGTAACTACTAACTGGCTTATGCAAAGTTGGATCACACACAAAAGAGAGATATCAATATTAATTGCAAACTTATCTCTAAATGAATATGAAGGTTCCTCAATTGAAACTTGAGTAAATGTCCCTTGACTTGTATAAACAATTGTTTCAGTGGGTGCACTATGGTGTGTATTCTCAAGTTCTAATTCGGGTGTGGGTTTCAATTTTGAAAAGTAAGAATCTATTATTTTTCCCTTCGTATTTCAACCTAAAAAAATAAATAAGATAATCAATGTTCATCCCTATTACCCTAAATTCATCAATTATATTAGATAAAACATAAAAAATTAAAACAATAATAATGAAAGAAAAAAAGCCATAACCTCAATTAAAATAATTACCTTTCAAATTTCACTTCATGGCTCTTGTGAAGTTGCGATAAAAAAAATTGTTGCAGGAGAGGGTCCGATAAAAAAAATTAAAAGTTATGAAATTCCTTTAAAAGAATCGGGGGAGAGGATGTTTAGATTGCATGGGCCATGCTCTCTAATTTATAAGCTGTTGCCATGGGGAAATAGAATCAAATTATAACTAGTACTATAAATAATAATTAAGTTGTTTGATTGGGGAATAATTAATTTTTCAATATTCAGATAACGATTAATTCGGATCAAAATTAGTTAACTAACCTAATTAACCAAAAAGTTCATAATGTTGGGTTTTGTTTTTATTTACCGATCGTGGATTTCTTTAATTAGGGTTATAATTGAACATTTCATTCTTTGATGAATTCCTAGACCAATATTTGACATTAGTGTGTGAATGCTTTTGAAGGACGGACGAACTGCCCATTTTGAAACTTTTCAAGGAATTAGAATTCATAGATGAAGTTAACATTTGTTGCAATTGAAGCTTATGACAAAAGAATAGAGTGCCTCTACTACCCCCATTAAAATTTTCATTTTGATTTCATGTTTTATCAAAATCAACTGTGGGATTATATAAGACTTGGCAGAGTGGTTGATATATGCTACCATTGGAAGTTGATCTTATGGCACCAGTTATTCCCATTGAGTAAACAGGGCAGAAGGAATATGGGAAGTGTTTATTTTCGCAATTGATGGGGAAGCCTAACAAGTATTCTAGGGGAGGGATTTCTTCTAGTTTTAGCCATGATTACAGGCATTCGGCTGAGATCATGGGTGAATCAGAGGGCTTTGGGGGTTCTAGATGGATTTATGCAGAGATGACGACATCAGAGGATTCTTGTGCACGTAAAAGGAAATGTATCAGCTTGAATGCTGATAGTTATGATAATTTTGGTGTCCCCATGTGATGTAAGGTAATTCTACCTTCTCGATTGATTGTGGATCTAGGAAGGAAGTAAAACAACTTGTATAAGTGAATGACTCAAAACAGATGGTTAAGGGTGGTAAATGCAAAGGTGAATAGCTATGCTATTTAATTGTTGTAACTGTTTTTCGGCGGGACAATCGTTTAATTTTTAAAAACAGTTACGACTTTAATTTTGGAAAAATCCGGTGATTTAGAATTAAATTGGATAGAATTGGAAAGAGTCGCCATCAACCTTTGAGTTAGGTAGGTCGAATACCTAAAAACGTCTTTTACAAATAATTTTAAGAAAAATTATTTTTTAAGACAAAATTTGATATGCGATTACCAAAAATTCGATTAAAGCGGGTTCGGTTACGCATGGGGAAGGATTTGCACCCCACAACGCCCAAAATTGGTATTGTTTCGCTTACACATTGTCATAAAGGTGAAAATTATAAATCGAATAAAAAGTTAAACCATGATCCATTTTTTGAAATTTAATTAATTTGTCTCTAATTAGTAATTTAAAGAAAATCCTTTAACTTGATAAAAAATCTTGAAATTGATATCTTTTATGGGGAAAACTATTTCAACTATTTCTCATTCGTAAAAAATATTCCTCCTAAATGATAAAATATGAATCGAATATTGACACTTTGCATAAAAATAAAAATAAATTAATAGAACTGCATTAAATCATTCATATAAAAATATTTAATTAATAAAATATATATATATATATATATTATTAATGAATAAAGAATATGAAATTTTATATTTAGTATATATAATACTTAGAACCAAAACATATCAAACCAATATATATAAAATATGAAATATGCTATAATAGATGTAATTACGTGCATAATATATTTATATATATACATAAAATGTTAACGATAAATAAAATAAAATTATAAATTTGGACTAACATGCACATTTAAAAACATGACAATCTAAAATAAAAAAATAAGCATGTTTAATAACATAATAGTGACGGTAAATTCAAAGACATAATAACAAACATGGAAAACATCACGACAAATAACATAATATAGGTACTGATAAGAAAATAAATCATACAAAATATACAGGACCAAAATGAAAATAATCAAAAATTAGTACCTCCAAAATAATTAGAAAATATGAATAAAAAGACTCAGGACCAAAATACAACATGCACAACTTTAACAGTTAAATGTATAAAACAGTAAATATTAAATACAATAATTCTTAGGACAGAAATTAAATGCGCAAAAACATATAAAGACCAAATTAAAAGATAAAAGAAACTTGACCAAGGACTAAAATAGGATGTGTAAAATACAAAGGGACCCGAATGAAATTAACCTAACCCTATAGATTAAAGATGATGACTAGAATTAATTTGATGCCAAACATGTGACTTAAAATATAAAATACATGATTTTACACATTAGTAAATATGCAATTAAAAGTCCAAAATATAAATATGAATAAACACTATAACTAAATTATAGGGATTGAAATTAAATACACGAAAAACATGGAAACCAAATTATGACATAAACAACTAGAATTTAGGACTAAAACGAATTACAAACAAAATAAGAATGGCATCGCACACTATTTCCCACTCACCAGACACGTGCTACTCACCTCCTGAAATGGTACTGTTTTAGTAAACTAATATATGTAATATATTGAGTGAAATTAAACCCTAGCCTCACTTAGTCTCCTCTACGCCGTTCTTCTCAACTCTCCTCCCCTCTTCCTTCTTTCATTCTTTTCGACAGTATACAAACCAGTAGCTAAAACTTCCATGGCCAACACTCCTTCATCCGAAACCCATACCCAAAACCTCCTTTACCATCGAATGACTACTCCAATGGCCTTGACTCCCACGAGAACACCCACTAACAAGGTAACCCGAAACCCTCTCCTTCCTCTAATGTATTTTCTGGTTTGGCATTTAATTTCACTACTTATTTGGTTTAATAATACTAACCTCAACCCCTTTATTCTAGTAATTAAACCCCAAATGTCTAAGATGAAGCCACCGAGACTCTACCCCGTTCACAACTAAGGTAATTTTCTAAATCATTTCTCTTTTTATTTTTATGTTCGAAAGAAAAATTACAAACCACATACATTAATGAATATTTTGAAGGCAGAAAAAAATGATGATAATAAAATAAAGAAAAACTTGCTTATGGATTACTTGTATTACTTTGGAAATACACTGCTTGCTTTTAGAATACCGGGAAGGAATTTTTTTTACACACTTTTTATATCTGTTGCTTTGCTGTGTAAAACAAATGAAAAATTCGTGCTCTCTTCTCTGTTTTTCTTCCCCCTGTTCGAATGGATTTTCCTGAAATTGTCCTCTGTTTTGCTGATGTTCTCTCCTCTGGTATTTCTTTCCCCTGTTCGAAGGGATTTTCCTGAAATTGCCCTCTATTTTGCTGATGTTCTCTCCTTTACCTGTTGTTAATCGAGAGCCCCTCTTTATAGTTGTTTGAAATCTCTTTTTCCCTGCCTCGAATGAGTCTCATCCATTTAATATTTTAGTTGCTCAATAGTGGGTCTTCCACTGGCGTTAGAATAATGGTAGTGTATATTAGGTAATGATACTTAATTTCTTAGAAAAGATAAATTTAGTGGATGGCTTATTTTTTTGTTAATTTTGGTTGCTGCTTGACGTAGGTAGTGACGATATTTGGCAACTTGGTGGCTTAGTGGTGATTTGGGAGCTTGCTGGTGTTCTTCACGTGGGGAGGCAATGGGCAAAAGATGGGGCATTTATTTAAAAAATGGTGAAAGCAATGGTGTAGGGTATGGCCCCTATGTGATATCATATATTTTTTTTTTGATAAAATATTGGTGCTTACAGATGCCCCTCTTTGCTCATTACTGTGAAACGGGAATAGAGAAAAGATATAAAGCACCAATTTTATCCTTATCTCTTCTTGTAATGCTTCGAACTCTTCACTGGAAATGTCAATTCTTCTCCTTCTGCAAAATCGTCGAGTCTTTGCTGCAAATGATGTCATCTTGCTTCGTTCTCTTGGCTGAGTCTTCATCTTCAGTTCTTCAAGTTATGGGTTATTCTCATTACGATCTTTCTACTTTAGGACGAGTTCTTCTTATTATGAACTCTTCTAGAATTGTCAATCTCTCAAGCGAGGTGTCACTAATTCGAAATGCTGTGAATCGAGTGATAGGTCGAACAAGCTCTTCTCATTATGAACTTCTTCTCCTTCTGTCGGATGAGTTCTTCTCATTATGAACTCTGTACTGGAAATGTTGATCTGTTTATTTTCTCTTTGAAAATTTTCAGACCTGCAAAAGATTATCATGTGTCAGTAATAATTGTGTTTGAAGTACCCGAAGGTATTGACCCAAAGGTTCTCGAATCTTTGTTGAGATCCATTTCTTTCAATGGTGAAAAATATGGATTGATTCTTTGCTGAAATCATGAAACGAAATCTTTGTTGGCTCTTTGAATTCCTGTCAGATATTTAACACTTATGAAAATTAATAAGAAACTTGTTTTAAGAGAAATACTCTCAAGTGAGATAAATTTTGTTCCGAAGGAAAATTGTCTCAAGCAAGACGAAGTAGGTTTTAAGAAAACCCATCTCAAGTGAGATAAATTTTGTTTCAAAGGAAAACTGTCTCAAGCCAAACGAAGTAGGTTTTAAGAAAAACCATCTCAAGTGAGATTCATTTTGTTTCAAGGGAAAGCTGTCTCAAGTGAGATGAACTTGGTTTTAAGAAAAACCATCTCAAGGGAGACAAAACTTTGTTTCAAGATAAACTGTATCAAAAACTTGTTTCAAGAGAAACTATCTCAAGGGAGACAGGGGAACTGTCTCAAGGGAAACTGTCTCAAGAGAGACAAAATTTGTTTCAAGGGAAACTGTCTCAAGAGAGACAAAATTTGTTTCAAGGGAAACTATCTCAAGCGATATAAAATCTTATGTTTCAAGGAAAAACAATCTTGAGCGAGATAAAATCTTCTGTTTCAAGGAAAAAACAATCTTGAGCGAGATAAAATCTTCTGTTTCAAGGAAAAACAATCTTGAGCTTGATAAAATCTTCTGTTTCAAGGAAAAACAATCTTGAATGAGATAAAATCTTCTGTTTCAAGGAAAAATAATCTTGAGTGAGATAAAATCTTCTGTTTCAAGGAAAAACAATCTTGAATGGGATAAAATCTTCTGTTTCAAGGAAAAACAATCTTGAGTGAGATAAAATCTTCTGTTTCAAGGAAAAATAATCTTGAGTGAGATAAAATCTTCTGTTTCAAGGAAAATAATCTTGAGTGAGATAAAATCTTTTGTTTCAAGGAAAAACAATCTTGAATGAGATAAAATCTTCTGTTTCAAGGAAAAATAATCTTGAGTCAAATAAAATGTCTTCTTTCAAGTAAAATAGTCTCAAGTGAGACAAAGCCTGTTTTAAGAAAAACAATCTCCAGTGATAAATCCTCCGTATTAAATGAGACTGTCTCAAGCGAGACAAAATTTGTCTGGAAATGTTGAATCTGAAGATGATTGTTCCCTCTTGTAGAGGATATCTTGTTATCTTTTACTCTTCCTGAAAGATCTGCAAAAATGTAGTTGAATGCAACTATCATGAATGAATGTTTGACGTAAAGATGCAAATTCATGTAGGTGCAATGCATGACTTTTTTATATGCAAATGATGTTCTTATGAATGCAAAAAAAAATGTTGATGCAATCTTCATTTAACTTCAAAGTGGCCATCTCGGTCTTCTTCTACTTGATCACTTCTTCTAAAAGTCTACTCAAATATTCATGTAGCAACTCATAATTTCCAACTTGCATTTTTGAAGATCCATCTAATCGTCTTCTCTCTTCTTGTCGTCTTCATTTTCTGTCTTCATTTTGGAGAAAACATTTTCTTTCTCAACTTTTTGCTACGATCAGAAATATGACTGTGTTGCCCTATTTTCAAAGACTATGCGTGTGACTATGACAAACACCATAAAGATCAAAGGGAAAGTTGCGTTAATTTTGATTTGACACTTGAAACTCGACATCAGGAGGATCTATCCAAATTTTATGTCAACACATCTAGCCACACATCAAACGAGGCTCGTTTTTAACAACAACCCATCTTTCAGCCTTAGTTGATACCACTAGTCTCTTGTTGTTAAGATTTTATCACCTCTTTCGTGGAAAGAAATCTTCATCATATCTCACTTCTAACCTTGGGGTTGAAGAAGACAAACTTCATAAATAGAAACACCATATGATCACAAAATTCGTTCAACACCATAATCACTGGTTCGTAAAGCATTTGACACACATTTATCATTTCCTGTAGCTTCTGCTTAGATTTCTCAATCAGTGATGCTCTTTGCATAGTGTTTGGAGCTTTTGTAGGACGTCACTTAAGAACAAAGCTCAGTGAGACCGCAAGTGGGATACTTTAACTGTCAGCATCAAATCACCAGAATAATACAACTTCCTGATGAACAAAGCAATTATGTATAGTTAGCTCCACTGTCACTGATTTATCATTTGCATTCTTCATATCTTTATCTCATTGGAAATATTTGCTCAAATCAATGATCTGGACACATGATGATATGGGCCTTCAGCATGCCCCAACATTTGCAGATATGAACATTCAAAATGTATTCAAAATGCCCCCACATGAATCAGTTTTTGTCTGAAATGGGCCTTCAAAATGCCCCAACATTCTATTTCTGGTTGAAATGGACCTTCAAAAAATCTCAACCTTTTCATGCTAGTGTGAGCCTTCAATATGCCCCAAATGGATCATTTCTATCTAAAATGGGCCTTCAAAATGCCCCATCCTTCAAGTCAAAAGGTTCATTCTCGATGTCCATTAAATTTGAATCTCATGATTCCCATGAGGTACAACTTTGATAATGCCCCTATTTATGGATCATTATGGCTCTATTCGTGCCCAAATTTGTTTATCTTGAATGCTCTCATTCTGGTGTTACTAAACAACAATGTTGTCAAGTAACTTCGATGGAATATCTTCATGTTATCACAAACTTAAGAAGTGATCAATCTTTCTAACAGAAATGACTGAGATATGTGCTTCTTCTGAGTAAGGTGGTCATTTTCTGCTTGACTGGTCGCATTCTTTCCTTTTTTGCTATGCACTGGGATATGTGCTCCTTTTTTCGAACGAGACAATCATCGTGTTCTTGTCAGGTTGCTGATAATGTCACAAGAGAGTGTTACAAGTTCTCTCCTCCAGCCTTCCTGATCTTTCAGACCACTTGCTTTCAAGAATGTGAAGTGATTCCTCATTTTGGCATCACTCATTCTTTTTCTCCAATAAAGGTAGAATAGACATAAGCTTGCTTCAAGGACCTTTTTTAATTTGAGACTGTCCTGTTTGAAAATGTTTTTCCTCATTTCTTTATACAAAAAATGAAAGAATTTTGTAAAGTATTGCTTCTTCCAGGTTCACAATTGAATCAAATCATAAACAATGAGTTTAATGATATCAAATAAATCAACTACTATTTTAAATCATTAAAAAATCATAGTCCTATGGCAAATGTCAAAATTATTGACTAATTTAATGTGTAGGTTAATTATGGTAAAGTAAGGTCTCTCAGGTTGGTCCATCATATATGTCCTTTTGAGCGTCCAATAATCTTGAAGAAATGATTGTTATGCTCATCTCGTAGAGATACTTCTTGGTTCCAGACTCTCAGGAACATCTTTGGGATGCATGGTTCTTCATCAAGAATTTAAGATCGTCTCTTATGTCGTTGTTGCACCATTCAATATTCGAGTCACCTTTTCAGGTTTTCAACTCGAATCCTCCTTTGGTTTCAAGACATTATTCAAAATTTATATCTTGAACCCCCTTTTATAATATCATGCATTAAAGATTTTTAAAAAACTAATTTTTGTAAATAAAAATTAATCCTGAGAAGCGGAATAAAATGAAGATAATGTCTTTTACTTAAAATCCATGTATGATTAGAATGGACTTTTCAGGGACGTAACGTAGGCCAGGGCTCATGGTTATGAAAGAAATGGATAAAAAGGCCCAAACAAGTGTTTAAAGGTAATTGAACCAAAGATCAATTCATTCTGATGCCTTCAATCTTGCCTTGCTTGACTTGGATCTACTTTGCTACTTGTATTTCATAATTCCTTTTTCTGGATCCCTCTAGACTGTTAATTTTGTTATATCTCCAGCATTTCTTGCGCTTCTTGTTGAACATGAATCTTTGAACTTGATCAACCTTAAAACTTGAGGTTCAATGAATCATCCATCTTGATTCAATTTCATTTTTTTCTTTTTTTCCTCTTTTTTTCTCTCTGATGGATGAGTATAAGACTTCAATTGCTTTGAGTACCTCTTTTTACTCTTACATTCGTTATTCTTGACTGGATTTGATCTTCAAGCACCTCATATTTGACATGCCTTGTGGTTCAAAACTCTCTTTACTTCATGGAGATTTGCCTTCGTAATAAAACTAGATTGACAATTTTTATTCATGTGAGCAGATATCCTTCACCTTGCCTCCCAATGTGGAGGGTGATCCTTGGTTAGGGTTAAATCAGAAGAAAATTCATTCAGGCTCAAATAGGGACAACAAAAGATATTTTTTTCTCCTTTTGCGAAGGGATAAATGAAAGAATACCATTCATCTTTTCATACACATAAGTCTATGTAAAAAAAGGTATCCCCAAGGGATGAATATTCAGGATTAAATTTTATTTACATGAAAATAATGTAATTAATGCATGTTATAA